ACGACGAACCCACTACTTCTGCTGCTGATTTTGCTGATTTTGCTGACTCTGCTGACTCCACTACCTCCACTACTACCACCACTACCATTATTGTTACCGATGACCTCGACGACGACACTGACCCTCTTCTCCTTGACCATCCTCATTTCAGCGCCAACATCACCACCACCGACAACTACAACAAGCTGCCTGCTACCGTCAAGGAAGCCATGGACAGTCCTGATGCTGACAGCTGGACCCGTGCCCTTGAGAAGGAGGCTGATTCCTTTCACGAGCACAACGTCATCCAAGGACTAGATCACCTTCCAGCTCACATCAAGCCCCTCGACCTTCGGGTTGTCTTTGCTCGCAAGCATGATGGCACCTTCAAGGCACGCATTGTGGCCAAAGGTTTCAAGCAACTCTATGGCATCGACTACAACGAAACCTACTCGCCCACTGCCAATATGGTGACCATTCGTACCCTCATTGCTCTTGCTGTCGACTATGGCTTCATCATCCACCAGATGGATGTCAAGACTGCCTTTCTCAACGCTCCACTCGAGGAGGACATTTACATCACCGTGCCCAAAGGTCTCGAGCAGTACTTCAATGGCTACACTCATGGCAAGCTCAACCGCGCTGTCTATGGGCTCAAGCAAGCTTCACGTGCTTGGTACCAGATGCTCGACCACCAGCTGTGCACGGAGATGAAGTTTACTCGCTGCCTCAAGGACCGATGTGTTTATTTTCTCAACAATGGCCGCGATGCCATTTGGATCGCCGTCTATGTCGATGACCTCCTGATGTTTGCCAGTAGCAGCCTCATCCTCGATCAGACCAAGGCTCTCCTTCAGCAAAAGTTTACCATGACTGACCTTGGTGAGATTGAGACTTATCTGGGCATGGAGTTTGCACGCAACGGTGATACCATGACCATCAAGCAGACAAAGTACATCGACGATATCTTGGCTACCTTTCACATGACCGATGCCAAGCCCGCGCCGATGCCATTGAGTCCAGGCATTTGCCTCGACA